TCAATCCCTATCCATAGACTTAATCATGTTTTCTGAGTAATTTAGTACCTTTTAAAACAAATATATTCTTGTCTGCAGATTTGTCTTAGGAGCTGTGTGAATGGTTTCTGAATCCTGAATTCTGAAAAAAATCTGCTTATGCTCAATGTTATCCTATCTGAAATTTAAAAACAGCACAAAATATGATTACGGTAGTGCAGAGCTCTTAATACAAATATTTCTGAGCTCCAGAATTACTAGAGGTTGCCTCCATATTAACTCTAATGAACCATGGTTAGTATTCCCTGGTTGTGCTGTTTTTTTCCCACCTGCCCTGAACTAGAAAATGCATTTCTGATACAGTGTGGGTGTCATTTTAATTGACACAAAATAAACTTTTGCTGGATCGTTTTGACATTCAGCTGTTGCTAAAGATGTTAAAGGAAAAGTAAATGTACTAATCATTGGTCACAAAGCAGCCTAATCCATGGTGACCTACAATTTGTTTAGGATCCTTTAGAGCAGCAGAGAGATTAAAGTGTGTTAAAAAAGAGGTAAACAGTGGGTCAGAGATTAGAAGTGAAAAAGGAAAAGACTGGCTTCCCCCAGACCACACACTGATAGTAGGCCTTCCTTCAGTGATTGTTCAAAAATGTTTCATGTTTCTTTTCCCCCTAAAAAACCTTAGAAACAGAAGGTTTGATTGGCACTTGTCATGGCTGATAGAGAGACGAAGATGCTTTGGTAAAAAGGAGAGGGAGGCAGCCGTGTCAAAAGCAGCGGTAGCTAAAGGATGATTCCTCCTTTCTGTGGTTTTGTCTCCCTCTAAATTATTCAAATCTGGGTGGCATCTGAGGATAACGGGCATTTTGACACAGCTTAAAGGATTGTCTGACTAACTCCATTGAACTGAAGCTGCCATCCTTTTTTAAAAAAAATTATAAAGAGGCAGATCTTCTATAATCTGATATGTATACAAACGAAAGGCAGCTCGATGCAGAGGTCTTTAAATATTTTTGGGAGGGGGGAGGGGAGACAACAATTTTATCTGTTTCTTGGCTGATTGATTGTCTTTTTCATCTGTCTGCAAGAATGCTACTTATTGGTTCAGAAAAGGCTTTATTTGATTTTCTTTAGAATATCCATCATTGCTTGAGATGCATCTGGTGGTTACAAATTCAAGTCAAGCCAGCTGGATTAGAATCAACAAATGTAGGGAATTTTCTCCATCAAAAGAGGATCCTCGCCAACCAGGAATCTCCTCTGATGGCCCTCCTGATTATGGATTTTTCTTTTCATGGCAATTTTCTTTCTTTCTTTTCAGAATTGCATCGTGCCTCTCCTTAGTCCTTTGTCTCAACCATGCCAGACAGTTTAAATGGGCTCCACAGGGTTACTAGCTCCTCTATTAGGCTGAGCTGCCATTTAGTGTTTGGTCTCCTCTTCACTTCAGAACCTAGACCAAACCTTGCTCACGCTTCTCACAGGAGTAGCCCCATTGAAATAAGTAGAACTATTCACACGAGTAAGATGACCAGGATTTGGTCTGCAGTAGTGTGCTATGCCTAACCTGTTCAAATCATCCAGTCTAAAGTGCAACTGGCCAGGACTGCACCCTGGGCACTTCCCCCTGTCCTCTCTCCTTGTACCTTCTTTGCAGGGCTCGGGCTCTGGCTGTGGGCAGTGGCGCAAGAGCAGCAGCCGGAGTTCGCTGCTGCTGGGGGAAAGGGTCACTCCATTTTTGGTTGCTGACATGCAAGTTGAATGGCCAAAAAAGTCTCCTCCCGGCAGCGGTGAAGACTCCTACGCTGCTGCCACTCCTGCACTGCTGCAGGTGCAGCTCCTGCACTGCTGCCACTGCCAAGCAACAGAACTACATTTCCCAGAATGCCCTTCACTCATGGACTACTGCTTCTGCTTCTCTTGTGGAAGCTGAAGCCAGAAGGTTTCTGGAGGAGGGGGAGCAGGGGACAGGAGGGTGCGGTACCTCCTCCTCCATTTGGGTGCTCCCCTCTGCCCCCTTTTAGGCAGTGCCTGGGTCTCTGACAGATACTCTTTTAGCGTGGGTTAACAGAAAAAACCTACTTGTCTTCCCCACTGCCTGTGCTGACACACTGACACATTTACTTTAGGCTATGACAGAACAAGCTTAATTTCGGGCCTTCCTTGCTCCACTGTTTCCCTATAGTTCTTCAATGGCGGTGGTTATAAGAAGAGAAAAAAATATTCCAATGCAATAGGAAAAAAATCACCCACCCTGGCATGGGCAACTGGTGCCTCCCAAGTCTGGGCGGGGGCACCAGATCGCCAACGGGGGGCGGGGGGTTCATGGCTGGTGCTTCCAGGGGGGGCACGGTTGGTCTCAGGGGGTGCATGTGCACCCGCATGCACCCCCTACGCGTTGCCAGTGCAACCCAGTTATGTGAATCAGTCCTTATCAGGCTGCTACCTGGTGGATAGTCTTTAGTCAGCGTTGGTCAGCAAGTTATGTTTCTTGGTTGTATCTAACAATGTGCGTTTGCCAAATAAACCTGTTTGTTTAACCCCATCAGATTTTGGATAAAACCCAGAAGTAGAGACAGGTAATTGGATTTCTTCTCAGCGACTGTTTGGGGATTGGGGTAATATTGGTCCAGAAGGGTGCTTCTCTTGGACCTTTGATGGAGCAGGGCATCTTGCCACTGTTCCCCATTCAGTGTGCCCGTGGGTGGATCTAGAATTTTTGGGAAAGGGTTGCAGATAATGTAGTTCAGCATGACATAGAAGAACACACATTTTTTCTTCAGGTAAAAAGAAACTAAAAGCTTTACTAATATGCTAGGGGCCTATTCAGTTTAAGATCCAAGCAATAATAAATATACCTTTCTTGGAATGTGTAATAATAATAATAATTTGCTAGATTACATATTAAGTTAAAAACATAACAAACTAGGCAAAAGTAGTCAAGAGAGATATTTTTTTTATTAGTCCTGTAGTTATTATAGCTAAATGTACATTCCTTATTCCAATCCATAGAACAAAATATAGCCTTCTTGACCATCTTGACTATGCATCCAACACTTCACTGACAGTCTTTTCCATGTTTGAGTTAACGTTCACCTGAGTTAATTTTTACTGCACCTGAATTAAGGTTTTTAGCTAGGACTAAATGCAGTCTGCAGGACTGTGAAACAGAAGAGAGATATTACCAAGAATGGCTAACAGACACCAACATCGCAGAAGAAAATATAACTTGATTAATGGGCTGTCAAGACAATTAAAAAGGAGAGAGGGTCATTAGCACCTGAGATTAATAGAAATCAGGTACATTATATTGAGCCATGAAGTCAATTGATTCCCTGAGCACTGCCTGAATAGAAATGCTGCTGCCACTGCCAGGTGGTTGGTTTTAAAGTTTAGGTGGAGCAGGAATCAAAGGCAGGGGCAGGGATTCAACTGTACCACTGCCCTACCCCTGGATCAGCCTCTGGGTACACCAAATGGCAGAGACTAGATACAGAAATTGAAGGGTGAACAGACAGTGTCCTGCCTCATCAAGGTCCTAAAAAGGCACCCTTTTGAGCAGAGGGCCCTGACTCCAATGGATGTCTATACATAAAATAATGCTCTATTTTTATATTTGTAGTGGGTTTTATAAAAGTAGGAGTAGGAACAGGGAGGGAAATATCAACTATTGTTGGTAACCGGGGATTCTGAAGTTTCATCCGTTTCAGTCCTTGTAAGACTTAAACTGCAGGAGGAGGTGAATGGAATAATAAGAACTACCAATGATGCTCTTAATAACACTTGCTCTTGAGACCTGGGGATTCCTACAGAACGCTCTCTAGGGGATGTAAAATGAAAAATGCTTGTGTCAGCTCATACAACATTACTCAAGATCATAATCGGGTAGAATCTTGATTTTTCTAACAAAGTTCAAAGTTTTGCTTTTTTATAGGGTGTTCTATCCAAGGTGCACTAAATGTGCTACAAGCATAAACTAATCACATTTTGCATCATTTTGTGAAGCAAGCATTGTTCTCCCCATGTTGACCACAGATAGTTGGCAAGCTCATCCATCTACATTGCAATAGGACAGACATGTAGTGGCCTTGCCAAGAACACCTGACAATTTGATGGCAGGGATGGGACTAGAAACTGGGGGCATGTTTAGATGAAATGGGGGCCCTAAATTGAAGTGGTGGGTTTTTAAAAACACCATTGCAATTTAGGGCCCTTTAAACCCCTGTGGTGTGCACACACCCGCCACACTTACCTGCCTCTTCAGTGGTGGGCAGGGGCGGGGAGGGTGAGCTGCTGGCAGGTGAAGTGGTTCCTGGGTTGTGAGTGGGGGTGGAGGGAAGGGGAGCTTGTGCTTCCCTCTGTGGCAGAAGCACCCCCCCCCCCAAGCGGCACCCACTTGCAGGCATCTGGCTTGGGCAATCCTGGGGGACACTGCAGCCGCAGAGGGAAGCACTGGGTCCCTGCATAGCTCAGGCAGGCAGGCAGGCTCCAAGGGGAGGAAAAAAAAAAGATCAGGCTCCCTGCTTTTCTTGGGTGGAGTCTGCCTTCCTGGGCTGCTGCCAGGCTGCCTGCAGGGCTTCCTGCAGAGCCTCTGAGCTGCACGGAGCCCGGTGCTTCATTCCACAGCTGTAGGGGCAGCAAACTAAAACTCCTCCTTGGAGTTTTAGTTTGCTGTGCCCCAAGTCATTTAAGGTGCATTATGTCGCCGAATTTGCTACAGTGGCTGTAGTTAATGCTCAATACAAAGCTGACGCATGCAAACACCAACACCATTAAAGCGGTGCAAAAGCATTTAACCTGCTTTAAAGTGTTGTGCACACATGCCCCTCATTTTGTCAATGCATGGTCTGGGTCTCCTGACTACAAATTTTGTGTTTTCGACCTTTAGATCATATTCTGTCTCAAAGTGTAATGGGAAATATTTGGAGGAGATGCAGTTAGTCCTTGTCTCTTGTGCAATTTAGAATAATTCTTAGTGCTCTTATCAGATAAGATGATTTGTGTTCCATGTCTTCCAGGATTGGAAGAATCAGCTGAAGATTCCCATGAGGAAAGCTATTGTATTGGAGCTGAGAGGTGTAGAGACTCTCAAAGTCCTGCAAACAGAGAGAGCCATTTTAAACTGGATAATGGCAGCTTGCAAGAAATAGAACAACAGCAAAAAACAAAAGAAAGGCAAGCACAAGTCCTACACATTTACTCAAAACTCCACGAGACTCAAGCCTCTGCACACCGAGCACCTGAGACCATGACTATCTCCAAATTTGAGGATTGTGAGTTTTTTGTGTCTGAGTTTGTTTTTTGGTTGATTACTCAAGAGATGTACAAAGATCAAAATGGGGGGAAAGATAGTAGCCATCTCTAATTCTTGCATGCAGTGTACTTTGTGAAGGACCAATGCATAGACACTTTTCACTGTGTTGTCATCATTTAGACATTGGCACTTCTATAACTGCTGTTAATCAGATGGGCAAGAATGCACCTTGGACTGTTATGTCTTCTGTAGTAGTGGAAACTAAATTACACGTGGAAAATATCTTTAAATATCTATAGTACACAAACAGGCTGCAGCTGCATATGTAAAAAGGCTGGATTGCCGCAATATACTAGTATGCGTATTTGTGAAATTTCTCAAATGTGGGCTTTGTGTGTGTAACCATTGCGTGTATGATAAACATTCTACATTGAGCAAGAGTGAACTAGCAGTTTTAGAAAACCCAGTTCAGAGAGAGCGCTCCTCACGGACGGCTTCAGATGAATAAAACTAAAAACATTATTGATGTTGCCACATGACTGGTTAAATAACAAAAATCTACATTTTCTCAGGCTCCAGGAATAGGCCATGGTTTTAAATCGGGTATTAGCCAATTACCCAAAATGGTGATCTTGTAAAATATTACAATTCTAGCCATTATTAATGCAGTCTACAGATGCCATGGGCCTGTAGCTGTTTATCATGGGCTCTGTGGCTAAGTACAGACATTCAAAAAGCCCAAGCCTGAATTGATTCAATCTTTGCAGGTTAGTCCAACCTGCGTAGATTGTACCAGGAAGCAAGTGAATAGACATTTACTTTTGATTCTGGAAATGCAGACACATGTCTGCAGTGGTTCCTGCCATAATGCGGGGAGGGGAGGGAGGGCGCTAGAATGAACCCTCCCTTCCCTTTTGCACTGGCTGGGTGGAGGGAAGCTAAGCTGAGGGAGGGGGCAGGCCAGACCCTGGCAGGCTGCTAAGTATAATTGGGGACGGGTTTAAACCGCTTCCCTGGCCTGCAGGGACTCCAGCCAGGGTGTGCCTGGAGGGGGAGGGAGAGGGGGAAAGCAGCCTTTGCCAGGGTTTTGGGGAGGGGAGGGGGAAAGAGCTTCACTACAGCCTGGCCAGATGCTGGCCCAGCATGGCCCCCTAAGGTGGAGGGGGCAGGGAGGGTGTTTATTACTCCCTCCCTCCCCTCTCCCACCAGGGGACCCCAGCTGGGGTCTGCCAGCCCTGGCCGCCACCTCCGCCGCTTGCCCCTGGCCAGGCAGACCCTAGCTAGGGTCCCCTGGGGGAGGGGGGAGAGAAGTAAGGGTCAAGCCCCCTTACTGCCCCCTTTGACTCAGAGGGCCATGCCAAGCTGGCAGCTGGCCACTCCCCTGTCCCTGCTCCAGCTAGGGAGCACAAGGATGGGGCTAGCCCTGCTCTCTGGAGCAGACAGTACAGCCCAGTCCAGAGCTGAAAAGCATGCTGGGGAGCTGGGGGACTCTGATTTACCTTAAACCAGGAAGGGGTCTGGGACAGAAGTGCCATAAGTTGGTTTGACCTCAGTCAGTGAAGTCTGATGCTACAGTCAACCAGGCTTATCTTAAACCAGTTTTGGCCATTTTGAAACTGGTTTATGTGCATTAAAGTTTTGTTCTGTTACAGGTTTAAACCAGTTTCTGATCACTTAAACTGGTTTATGTGTAACTTCTGTCCCTAATCTGTATATTCAGGGGAATCACACCTCAGTGAATTGCTATGTGTGCAAATTCTTTTTACAGACTCATCACTGTAGCATGAAGCCATGAGGTACATCAGACCATACTGATAGCTAGGTACTATTTGGAATAACCCAAGGACTCTGTAAAGCATCTAGCACTGTGCACCTATGCTAGTATGAGTAATGGTACTAATACTGCCCAATAGTAGGCTGTCTTCTGTTATGATCTGAATAAACTCTTTAGCTTTTTGCACTGCCAAGCAATACAGCCATGGCAACCTGGAAACAAAGAGCCTTGTTCACATATGTCCTGCACCAGTGACCAAAGGGATGACACTTCTTTCTCAGTTGGCGTCTCCCATTACAAAATCCAGCTCAGTACCTATGAAGACCAGAGATGCCAGGTCCACCCCTGCCTCAGTAGTGCTTCTAGCCTTGCTGCCAGTTCCCGGAAAGAGGCTGAAATGTGCTGGCAAGTTCCTGACATGCAACATCCAATGAAAAGAAAGTTGTTCAAACAATGTATAACTGATTTAATCCCCACTCCCATAATAACTTCCCTTTCAGGATAACAACCAAATTTCAAAGGCAGCACAGGATACTACACAACTTCTGGAATGGTTTGACAAGGCTAAAACAGCTATCAAACTAAAAGCCCTGGCAAAGAAAAGTCTCCTGGGTGGACAAATAAGTGGAACACAAATTTCCTTTATCACATTGGTTCATAATTGCCCTCATTCCACCCACACACCTGGAACGTGGCTGTGGCCAAACTGAAAGAAGTGCTCCTAACTGAACAGCCCCCTAGATCTGTCAGGAGTAGCCAAATTCCCCATTTGAGTAAGGCAGATAGCAAGTGGTGCTTGCCCTGGAGCAGTTTTGTATCTATGCACACGTACACCTTCTGGCTCCAGTTGGATGTTAAAAGTAATCGAAGAGGGGCCACAGTCATTCCTTGCTATGCATCCTGTTTACACTTATGGAGAAACAACTGTGGCTCTTTCAGATTTGATGTCACTGAATATACCCAGTTTTTTAGCTGTTTTCAGACTATATTATATTAATGCAGGGCAACATATTTCAGCCACTACTTGGGTAAGTTACTGCTGCCTCTTTCAAGGTGTTGAAGTCTGTGTGAATTCAGGCTGCTCTACACTTGTAGAATGTAGGTACATGGAAACAAGCACCGCAGTTTATTAACTCCTGCACTGTGTAGAGGTTTTATTGTCAGCTGTGTATTTTCTACCAGTGCTGTGATATGCTCCCCTTGTTGGGTAAAGAATCCGCCTCCTCAGAATAATCATTGACAGCTCTAACAGCACAAGTGGCATCCCTGCAGCCAGTTTCACCATCCATGCCTGCTATCTGCAAGCTTCATGCTGAAAATGCCAACAAAGCAAATTATATGCTATTATACAATCACACTATGATCATTTCTGTAGAAAATGTGCCTTTAATAAGCGCGTTGTAAGAAGTTCCCTTCTCTTTTGTGTTTAGCATAATGAACCTTTAGATGGAATTTTAAAGAAAACATAGCAGTCACTAAGCTCCTATTTCTATGTTTATTTATCCAGCAATTTACATTAAGCGACAAGTGTAATTAGCTTTCCTGGATAAATGCTAAGCAAACTGGGAGTATTTCAAAAACATAATGGGGCACCTTGCAGCGATGATCT